CCACAATATAAATAGTAAACTTAGACGCTTAGAGCATTACAGACCTGCTATAAATAGCAGCCGGACAACCCTGCTCCCTAGAGCGAATCTAGGGCCCTCAATATGGCTTCAATCCTCGCTCTCCCCAAAGCGCAAATAAGTGCAATACTTTTTTCATTTGCTGGGAATTGAACCCAGGCTCTTTGGATCATGGAAATCTCAGAACCGAACCAGTCAACCATCTAGTTTTTAGATATTAGTCGTTTTTGATTTTTCAAATTATATACCTAAAAAATAACGCATAGATCACTTTCATCCGCGCGCCTGCAGGTAACGGGCGGGCGGGCGGATAACTACCTACTAGGCGGGCGGGCTATTACATAATCAGCCCGCCCGCCCGCCTGCCGCCCACGCCATCATGCGCGATCGAGCCTGCGCCGAAGCCTCGTACGCGATCAGCGCATAGGGCACCCAGCTTGCCAGCGCGAAGAGCACGTTATTGGACCCGAGCAAGAGCGATAGCGCAGTCGCAGCGGAAGGCGACTGCTTGGCGAAGCCAGCGAGCGCGAAAGTGCCCGTCAGTGAGGCGGCAAGGACCACGAGAGCTGGTTTCCAGACTTGGCACGTGAGGACGTCGCGCATGCGTGCGAGTCCGTTGCCGTGGTGGATTTTGACAGCGTCCTCGTCGGCGTCGGCGCATAGCTCGGTTTCGGGGTGCTGGCTTGTGACTGTGTTTGCGAAGCGACGGCAGACGGAGATGGTTATGAGAGTGCTCAGGACGTGGTGTTGAAGAATAATGCTACGCGGGACATGGCGGCTGTGGATGCGGATGCGGATGGTGAGGTCGATGGCTGGCTGTCTGGGATGCCCGTGTTACCAGGCTTGTCGTCTGGAAACATGTCAGTGTGGTAAACGTGTTTGCTTTACGTTGTGGATCATAGGCCACTAACATATGCGGGTAACCAGCCTAGAGGTTTCAAAACCTTGGTCAGCATCGTGATTCGTGAAATCAATCAGTTTCACTGCCCGGAGGTCATCTACTCACACGCTCGTGTAGTTTAATACCAAGAACCAAGCGAACCATGACACCACCTGTATCCTGCACACTTGCCGCGTCACGGGCGGTAGATTGCGTGCCTTCTTGAGCATCCGAGAGACGTGAGCACGCAGCGAAGTGTTCTTTCCGGACCTCGAGGAATGAGCGTCTGAGACGGGTTTGGCGGTTTTGGTGAAGGCGACTACTCCCAGTAGCAGCGCCAGGACGGACATAATGGCGATACCAAGGCCCTAGAAAGCCGGATGGAGTATGAGACCAATCAGAGCGACAAAGATGGAACCCAGGACTGAAAAGCGGCTTATCCACAAACTTGCGTTGGGTTGTTGGTGCGGGCCAAAATGATCGACCACGGACGCGCGGAGGCCCATCTGCAGCGGCAGGATAGAAAAGTTGAGGGCGTAAATGCTCAGTCCGGCGATGATGTGCGTCGTTGCCGTTTCGCTGCGGCCGTGGGTCAACAGTCCTGCGAGAGGTTGAGCGGCGGCAAGGAGCTGGAAGAAAACGATGGTGCCCAGGCCGCCGAGGAAGATGAACGGCTTGCGCTCGCCATGATAGACGTCGCTGAGGGCCGCAAAGATGGGTGGGCTGACGAGTCCTGCCAAGGGCCCCGACATGACGAAGATGGGCATCTGGGTGTCTGGTACGCCGAGTGACGATAGGTAGGGCACGACGAAGACCTGCTGGACTGTCCACGCGATCTGTAGTCTTTTGTGATTAGCCCATTTCTCGCAACTGATGTGAAGTTGTCGCCTACCCGAAGAAGGGAACCGTGAGGAGGAAGAAGTCGCATCTGCTCGTCTCATCGTCTTTGGTTAGCATTGACAGTGTGTCCTCCATAAGCGGAGCATTGCCCGAATCCGAGTCTACATCTAGATCCATCGTCAAAGTTGTCGAGTGGCGGAAGGTTTGGGAGGTATTTTGGAAGCTGTCGCGTGTCGCATGATGATTGTATAGGGAGTCGGGCTCCGGCGCATTTGCGATTTGTGATGTATTCATGGTCTTTGGAAAGTGTAAGAGAAGTAAAGTTGAGGTTGATGTTTGGAAGGGAAGCCCTTATAAGTTTATATCCACGATACTTTTCGCACACGGGAGTAGGCAAAGTATCAGTGAAACCGTGTAAAGGTATTTTTATATCTAGCCCCCACGAAACACATTACACAGAGTCGTAAGAAGGCTGAGCAACCGCATTGTTTAACCTATATACGTTACCTGTTCAAGGGCCAAACCCATTGGCAAAAGGGTAACACAACAAAAAGGATACCTGGATACCTCTGATTCTCGTCGCGATATTACGTTGCGAAGTTATAGCACGCAACCGCAGCAGGCGTCGTAGCAGCAGGCGTCGTAGCAGCAGGCGTCGCAGCGAGCGAGTGCGACAACAGCAAGCGAAGCAGGCGACAACAGACGAATTATTCAACAGCAGTAGGCAAAACAGGCTACAGTATCAGGCAAACAAGGCGACAATAGACGAAGCAGTCGACAGCAGTAGGCAAAACAGGCAACAGTAGCAGGCGCAGCAGCGTGTAACACTGACAACAGCGTATCCAACAAAGCGACCGCCCGCCTGCACGGCGAGCACGGCGAGCAGGCTGAGCGGGCTGGGCCGCGCACAGCGTTGCCTCATGAGCTGCTAGTTCACCAGCTTCGTGACGCGCATTTTGCAGGGCTGCAGCTTCCAGCCCGGGGAGGCGATTTCGGCGAATAGGCGCGTGAGGTGATGGAGGAAGGCGCTGAGGAAGCTGGGGGCAGTGGATGGTGTGTTGCTGAGATAAGTATGGGAGTAGGAAGACGCGCTGGTAAGGTAGGTGGGTGGGTGGGTGTGTTACCTAGTAGGGACTTTGCCACCACGTTGCCACACACGCACGCACGCACGCACAGCAGACTGCCTTCCTGCGCTCACCACGCGCGCCCGACCCAGCGCTCCATATACCGAGCCCTACCACAAACGCCCTCACCACCCCAGGCATTCATCTGTAGATGGCACAACGTCAGCGCAAAGAACCGCCCCTGCTCGTCCGTAAGACAGCTCGCCTCATACGCGTCAACGTGCGCTTTCAAGAACCAGCGCCCCCGCTTCCGCCTCCGCACCCTTGACGTCCGCCAGAACAAAGACCACCACCCGCGCGGACGTCGCGCGGACGTGTAGATAGTATCCGCCCATGGCGCCAACGGAGGCGGAACAGAACGGCATGGAGACAAGATACGTGGAGAATGAACGGCGTCGTTGTGCCATGCCGGTGCAAGAATTTGTGAGAAGAATGGAGAATAGTTTGCCGCCCACGCGCTGGGTGATGCGCAGCCGTAGCGTAGCGCGAAGAAGGAGCTTAGCTCTAGTTCCTGGGTAGGCGAGATTTTCTTGCGGGTCTCTATGTAGAGTGCGTTGTGATGACGAGAACCATGGAAGCTTGATAGATCCTGTAATTTGGTGTTGAACGCGGCTGCGGCGTCGGGGCGAACGTAGGTGGCTAGGCGGCGGAGAAGAGTCTCCGGGTCGGTTGTTGCTTTGGGCGTTTGGTGCCTTGGTGCTGCAAGAGCGCAGCTTTTTCTGGAAATGCACTGTTTGTGCCGTCGTTCGAATGTTAGTCCTTCTGCGAAATCTTTGGGGTCACAGACGTAGTCGTCCTCGTTTGGTATTTTGCTAGGATTCTTTATGATGTTTTGTGGTATTGATCATGGATTGAGTTGGTTTGCAATCGTCCGGCGGAAGAAGTTAGCTGTGGCAGAACTGATGATACAGCGCCACCTCCGCATCTAGGTTTGAGACCTTCTGAAACCACAGGGCTGTCTTGACAATTCGGATGCTGAACCGCATCGGGTCCAGGCGCCTAACCATAAAATGGTCCGTATATGCCGTTGCTACATGGGTTAAACGAACTCACCAGACACTACTGTCACAGTTGCTTAGAAACAACACGCCATCAGGAACATCCAGAAAGGATCTTAGGATTTCGATGAATGATGAATGGGTATCAAGCTGGATCTGCCTCACCTCCTTCCTCTCTGCTCATAATTTGGCTGATAGCGCCCTGTAGCAAACATGCCGCTCCTCTTCCCCGCGCTGATAGAAAAGCCATCGCGATTAAGCTTCGTCGCAAGATTCTCTTCAGTAATCTCCCCTCCCTCAGGTGAGTTCTCACCGCTGCTCAGCAGCGTGCATTTCCGAATATCAGCACCCGCTGCCATGGCGGGATTGGTCAGGTCGCCAATGGCCGGTGCCGTCATCTCGAAGAAGAAGCTGTTGGGATGCGCGTCTCGAGCAATGGGAGGCGCGTCTCTTGCAGCACTGGTCTATGCGCGACGCGAACGTCAGCACAATGTAAGACACGATCAGCTCACAGCACAAATCAATGGACCTCGTGCATTGGCCCAGTCCTTGTCCGCTTGGCTTTGCGCTCTTCCTTCTTCGCCCGAGCCTTCTCGATGATTCGTTTCTGCGCATTCAGCTCAAACTCGCGGTCCATCTTCAGCGTGTTCAGCTCTTTTTCGACCGCCTCGTTCACGTCGATCGCCTCTTTACGCCTCTGCATCCGTTGCCTTAGCTCTTCTTTAGCAGCCTCCATTTCCTGCGTAACGGCTCTCTCGAGGTCTTCCTTCGTCTTCACGCCATGCTTCCGGATTAGGTCCTGCGCAAACTTGTCGTCTTCATCGGACGCGGGTTCTGGGCCCCCCTCGTAGAGCCCCTTGTGGTGCGTGAGCCGGATGCCAGGGATTTCCGACTTGAATTTCCGCCGCGAGTCGTCCAACGCGAGAGGCAACTGGTCCGCAGTGATTTCCGGGCGGCTGGCTAGGTATGCGGGCAGTGGCTCCTTGACTTCAATACCATCGCTGACGGGCGGGTTGAGCACGACTTTCATCACGCTATCTTCGTATGAGCGGCGGTAAGGGATTTTGCGCTCAGCCGCCTTGGGCTTGGGTGGATAGGTGTCGACGTCCATTGGGTCATCGCCTTGGGCGGACCGAGGGATGGAGCCGGGCGTAATTGGTTCGGGAGACATGACAGTAGGGATATTCAGTCCTTCCAAATCTTTCAATCCTCCAATGGATTATTCAACGATGAGTTCAAAGGAATCCTTGGTTGCTGATAGTGGATCGATAGGCAGGCAAAGATGGCGGGTTGAGGGCAGCAGCAGTAGATCGGGTATCAAGCCTGACAGTACCTTGCAATGAGTGTCTTTCCCGGCCCTGGGTATCAGGGTAGGCGAAGGAATGACTGGAGAAGGTGAGGTTACGAGATTGAAGCTGATGACGCTAGGCGATGACATAAGCCTCCGCAAACGCACGAGCCCCCATCAGCTTCAGTTGCAGATCCCCAGCGAACGCCTGCGCTCCCTTCGACGAGACAACTCACGTCCGACAACCCAACAAGCCTCACACAACACATACACGCACAGAGACACGCAAACGCGCGAATCCACGCACCGAAAATGGTGAGATCGACCTTTCCCTGGAACCCTCGACGGAAGCTAAAGCATTCTCTCTCTAGGCCGACAAGCTCCGCACCCAGCAGCAGCTCGAGAACCTGCAAGCCCGCTACGTCGGCACCGGCCACTCGGACACGACCAAGTTCGAGTTCACCAGCAACATCAAGCGCGACTCGTACGCCTCGTTCATCGGCCACCCGCCCATGCTCTCGTACATGGCCGTGGGCGCGGGCGTCTCGCGCGAGCGCATGCGCCTCTCCATGATCGACTCGATGATTCGACCCGTCGGCCCGCCGCCCGAGGTACAAGACTAGCACCTGTTGCTGCTGCTCCCTCCGTCCTTCCTCCCCTTCTTCCCCTCTTCCTACTCCCTGTCGTTGCTGGGCCATGGTGATATTACACGCGTAGGAAGAGGAGCTGCGCCATAAGGACATCCAGCCCCAGTTCTTTGGCAAGAGGGCCGAGTTGGACATGAAGGACCACTTTTCGACGCGGGGCGAGGAGGCTGTCCAAGCGGAGTTTGAGCGCGAGCATGAGCGCCAGCTCGAGCGCATCCTCGCGCGTAAGGCCATCGCCGCGACCCTCGCTGAGCGCCTTCGCAAGCCTGACGCCTCCAAGTCCAAGTGAGCGCTTGCGGGTCGTCGTCTGTCGCGCTGGGGCGCACAGGCTGAGGTTGGCCCCGCTTGACTTAGGTATGTCCACGTCGAGCATGGTATGCCGAAACGGTACTAACGTGGCGCCGCAGCAGCTCTCACTGGACTTTCATACTTCTGGGTTTGACGGAGTCGTTGGTTTGGATATCGGGTACGGCGCAGTGTTCTCGGGTGGATATCTGGGTTGGAGATACACTGGCAATGACAATTCTCGTACCTGCAACACGGTACTGCACATGCAAACTTATGAGCAATCAACTCTCTTCTTGATTCGCCGGTCTTTTTCTTCATGCCAAAATGTGCCATAAACACCCGAGCCCAAGGCAATCTCTCTATCATGCTCAATGCTCAATGCTCAATGACTGCCTAGCCCAAGCACCATCTCTGCGCAAAGACGCCACCAGCCATCTACAACGTGCAAAAACAGCCGCCCCCAAGCAACCTCCTACGCATCTATTCGCTGTCGCTCGCACTGCCCGTGGGCCCATCATCCTCATCATCCTCGTCCACGACATCATTGCCAGCCATCATAGCAAACTCAGCCTTCTGCAGCATCTGGCGGAGCTCGGTGTTGCGGGGGTCGGCGAGGTCGACGGGCCGCAGCTTGGCCTTGTTGCGTATCCGCGGGTCGCAGCCGGCGTCGATGAGGATGTCGACGATGGGGTGGCCGGCGTCGACCCACTCGTCCTTGGCCAGGCTGTTGACGTAGCGCACGGCCTTGTGCAGCGGCGTGTCCTTCTCCATGCGGTCGGCCTCGTCAATCTCGAGCCCTTCTTGGTCGAGCAGAACGTCTAGGACCTCGTCTGTGGCGGGGGAGAAAAGAGAGAGCGTCAGCAAATCCGAACATTCAAACAAACAATCTGACTACTATCTCCAATGACAATGACGGAGGAAGGGGAGGAGGAGCAGCAGGGATTCGCGGGCATCCAGGAAGACTCACAGCTGCCGTTGGTCGCGGCCACATGCAGCACACCATTGCCAATGCCGTCGCGCGCCTCGTTCAGCGTCTTGGCGACGTGCTCGGTGGCCTTGTCGCCGCCGGCCGCGGCCAGCTCGCCCAGCACTTCTTCCAGCAGCGACGTGTTGTTGCGGCGGCAAGCCTCCATGAGGAGCTCGCGAGGGGAGGCGCCCTCGTCGGCCATGGCTGCTGCTTGCTGTTGTTGTTGGTCGGACGGTGGGTTGGGTTGGGTTGAGGTCTGCGTTTACGCGGGGGTGGTTGTTCGCGGGGCAGGCAGGCAGGAGGGACGGGCGGCGATGACGGCGCTCGTGTGTGCTTGTGCTTGCGTTGCTTGCTTGGTGTGGGCGCGTGAATGGGAGAGGTAAGGTTGTTGTTGTGGGCGTGACGGGAGTGAGGGCTGCTGCTTGCTGCGGCGGGCCCGGCTGGTCTCGGGGGTGATGCGGGTTGGTAGTGGGCTTCGTATGCGGGCGGCGGGGCTGAGCTCACTCAGGAGGAAGCGGAGTGAGGCGGCGCGCACGCGGCGGGAGATTGCGACGAGGTTGGCAGCTGGGCTACGTGGATGAATGAGACGACGTCGGGCCGTGGACAATGACGAGAGCAGCAGCAGTTAGCTAGCATGGAGATCATCGATCCGCGTGGAAAGGAGTGTGAAGAAAGACTCTTGATTGACGCAGCCCGCCGCCGCCGCCGCCACCGTGAATGCCCGCTCTTGTATCTCCTTTCGGACGCGTTCATGCGAGTTTATCTGCATAACCGTTGGCAGCGATCGCGTCTCGAACCTCTCCAACCACCGATGCGCCGCGTCGCCATGTCTGAGGTTCGCTTGCCGTGCTCTCCCCTGTCGCCCCCAGGACGGCCACGACATCGGGACGGAATCCACTCGGGCGGCGCGGGCCCGGTGGAGCTTTTCCGCCCCAAGGCCCCAGGATCTCCGCGCTTTCTGGAAGATGATGGATCGCCCTTGGCCCTCTCTCGCTGTTCTCCCGGGCGACGTGTGGTGATTGGAAAAGCTTGTTTGCTTCTTGTAGATCTGGTCTGCCGACAAGCTTATACATGGACATGAGACTATTCTTTTTGTGCCATATTCAATTCTGATACAAGTTGAAAGTTGAAAATTTACCAATCTTCTGAAGCCATTCGTTCACCCATCAAATGTCAAACGTATATGGTGATACACTTGCTTCATGCCCTTCTACTTTCACACACTTGTACTTTCCTGTAAGGCTCGTTCCCCTATCTATTTTTATACTTTGGTACTATTTTAATTCTTCTCGTGCCCTTCTAACAATTTATCGCTAATTATATACGGACCATCTCCCTCACGAAGTACGCCCAGCTACCCAGACATGAAGTACTCCCACGCCGTACGTATAACAAACCATAGCAAGTAGCAGTGACAAGGCAAACAAACCACCGCGAGCCCAAGAGAATCATTGATTCCTGTATCCATCTCCACAGTCTCAATGCCATCCCAATAAGAAAAACAAACATTCGCGCCCGCACAAACAGCCAACCCACGTCCCGCCATGCCACCAATGAACCCGCCCTCACCTCCACAGAGCCACCGAGCCTCCACGCCCACAATGTAACTAGCGGCATCCACGCTCCCCAACCCCAAGTCCAGGCCCTCGCAGACCCGCACCTAACCAAATCCCCAGAGTCACATACAAATCCTATGTACGAAAATAGCAGCACACCTCAAGCCCCAAGCCCCAAGCCCCGAGCATTCCCATTGGCTCGCCCAACACCACGATCCCTTGCGCACCCCGGGTAAGGTAAGGTACCTACCTAGAGCAGAGTAGGTAATCCGTAGGAGTACGTAAGCAAGCATAAGCATAAGCTCGCCCATGGCGTCATCGCACATACGCCCACACGCCATGCCACGCCATGCCACCCAAGGGCGAGGGAAGGGAGCTCCCTCCCTCCCGTCCGCAAGTGTTACTTTTTGCTTGCAACCACGGTTCATCATCGCACGCTGCCAACTGCCTGCTTGCTTGCTTCGCTGAGACGACAGACAGTGTGTCCCCCGCCATCTTGTCACTGTCCAATCCGTCTCGTTCGTCCTTTGTTTGCCTACCACCCACCCTATCTACCTGTACCACGCACAACAGTACAGTACCTACCTACTCACTCTTTCGCACAACACAACGCAACGCAACGCAACGCACCTAGCACACAACCATGACGCACGTCGTCGACCGGCTCTCGCTGACCGGCGCCCCCACGGCCGCAATCCCGCACCCAAACTCAACCTACGACGCCGACACCGTCACACCCAGCAGCACCCACACCACCACCACCACCACCACTACCCGCACCCCCAACAACACGACCATCGAGCGCACCGGCACCAGCGCCAGCCTCGCCTCCGACTCTCGCGCCCGCGCAAGCACCTCCGCCTCCAGCTCCAGCGTCAGCTCCAACAGCGCCAACAGCGCCACCGCGCCCGCGCCCGCGCCCGCGCCCGCGCCTTCCAGCCACGATGTGGCGCCCGCCGCCGCTGCGCCAGCTCACGTCCAAGACCACCGCCACCAACACCATCAAGAGCACCAGCCGCTCGTCGACGACCTGCTCGCGCTATACTCGTACCAGCAGCAGCCCGCGGCGGCCGCGTTCGCGCGCTACGCCCCGGACGCGACGTTCCGGGACCCCGTGAGCGTGGCGCATGGGCGCGCGGGCATCGAGACCCTGTTTACGCGCATGGGGAAGCTGTTTGCCGAGAGCAGGACTGAGGGTACGTATACATACACACCCTTGGTGCTTTCTTCTGTTGGTTTTTATTGTTGTGTGTGAGCCGGAAGAGAGCTGTTCCGGGCAGCGGTGGCAGCAGCTACATCCGGCCGTTGGCTGGTTATCGATTGTGGCTGGATGGGGATGGGATGGGCGCTGCGCGTTGTAGATTGGCGAGTGCCAGTGGTTCAGCGCAGCTGCGCAGGGCGCAGCGCGGAAGTGCGCGGCTGAGACTTGGGGGTCAATGAGTATGGGGAAAGAACAAAGTGATTGACTTTGGATGCACAGACTATCACGTCCTCGACGGGACGACGCCGCAAGAGCTGCACCTGGATCTGACGCAAAAGTACGTTTTCAAGTCGTCGATCCCACTAAAGGAGAAGGGCTCGAGCAGGTCCGTCACGTCGAAGATCGCGCTCAAGCTCGACCCTCGCGACGGCAAGATTGTCGAGCATATTGAGGAATGGATTCATGAGGTAGGTGGCTGAGCCGTCAACTCCACCGGCGGACGTCATGGCTGACGCGAAATGCTTCGTATTTGTGTGCAGCCGAGCGACGATGGATTCTTCGGGAAGGTTCAGAAGTTTAGGAAGAAGATGGATGCGGAGCTGGTGGAGAGCACGGTGACGAGCGACGCGTGAGAGAAAGATGGTACTATGGTGGTGGTGACGTGGTGACGCGGTGACGCGATGACGCGGTAACGAAGTGCATGCATGACCCATGAGACAGGACCGAAGCATAAGTGAAACGACTCTCTGTTTACTCTGTTGCTACATTTGTGCGTGATGCGGGTGAGGGGATGCACTGCGCGTGCCGCGGCGCCGCCGCGCCGTATTGCCAAATTCACGCTGCGCTCACTTTCCTATCAGATCTGGCGGGCTCGTGGATCGTTTGTCGATCGGCAGCGCACGGGGCCAGGGGCTACAAGAGGCAGCTGGGCCCAATGCTGGTGATGTGGATAAACGACAGGGCGGCTGTTGCTTGCGACAACATGCCAGCTGGCCGAGCGGCCTTTTTCCCTCATGTCGCGTTGCTGTCGACAGTGATTGCTTTCCATCTCCGGGAAATTGAGCCGACCGCGGACGGACATGAGAGAGATGCAGCCGGCCGATTGGGCGGCTGCTGCTCGGCAAGCACCGCCAGTCAGGCACGCACCCTTCGTCAAGACCGATCGCCGGCGCTGGCTCTGACGCCTTCTTCAATCATCCTGCCGACCGTGTCGGGCATGATGATCTCTCGCCGGAAGTGTTCCTGCTGCAGCAACTGCAGGGCACGCAGCGTCGGGCCCGGATGCCTGGCAGTGCCGGACGCGTTAGCCCGCTCCACAATTGCGGCTGCGCCGGGTAGAGCAACTGAGAGAGAGTGTGACGTACGTGAGGTACTTTGCGTACTTGGGCTGCCTAAAGTACTGCAGGTAGTCGAGGTACGCGACGAAATCCGGGTTGTCGAGATGCTTCTGGGCGGCGAGGTGGTTCAGGTACCACGGGTTCGCCAGACATTGCACAAACTGTGAGCACGCGAAGATGGGAAGGTGAGCAAGCGCATGGCATGAGGATTTGTAATGGGAAGGGATCTCACCTCCAGTTCGAGCTCGAAGCGGGAGTACCCACCATAAAGCGGCTCTGCAGCCTCGGGTGCCTGGGCCATTTGCGCGCAAGGGTTCGTCGGGGCGGGAGGATGGACGGAGGGAATGGGTGGATGTGCAAGTGCGAGCCTGCGAGGGAAGTGGCCAGAAGCCGGGGCGTCAGCTGACGGGGCCACTGCCGAGGCCGGGAGGCCGGTCAGTGATGGGCGCAGCTGGCTGGGGCGGTTACGAGGGCCGATGGAAGCAATATTATGTGCGAATGCGAGAGTGCACGACAGACGGCAAAAGAAACCACCAAATGCTGCTTTCCACGCGCCGGGTTGCGAGGACGGGCAAGCCATTTCCGAGCTTCAGTCGAGTTTGTTGGTCCAAGCACGGGTCTGGCTGCACCAAAAACGCCCTTCCCCGCACGCGTTCTGGATCTTGGCTCAGGGACCCTGATCACCGGCCAGGAGCATCGGGAGCGGACGATGACGAAGATATACTTTTGAGCGGTCATTGATGCGGCGACGGGCGGGTGTATATCATGGAGGGGGAGATGTCGTGACGGAGAGCCGCGACGGCGGTTCGCTTGGGCTGCTTGCCGGGTGCGAGACATGCGAAACCCTGCGAGGAAAGAGAAGTCTCTCTACTCTTCTTCTCTCAGGAGGGAAATGGAAAGTCGAACGAAAGAAAGATAATTGCGGGCGGCGCTCGGCCCTACTCCTATTACCCACCGCATCCCCTAGTCTGTCGCGGATGCATTGGGATCTGCCCAACAGGCAGGGCCCTGACTCGCGCCGCGTCCGCCTGCACGCCTTGGAGAGCTATTCCACCTTAGCAAAGAGTGCTTGCGGGCTTCGCTCTTGCCCTCTAAATAATTATTCTCCCCCCTCTCCCCCCCATCCCGCTCTCCCCCACCTCTACATACTACTACATACCTCGTTGTTGTTGCCCCGTCCGCCGCAAACCATCCCCGTTTCACCGTGAAGCAATCCTACCGGCCGACTCATCCTACCTTCGCATAATCCGCATTCTTGCCCGCCCAAGCGTCGCTTGAGCAACAGAAGGGACACAGGACGAAACACCATCTCCGCCTGTCCGCGCAACCTCTCATCTCGTCGCGACAAATCTCCTCCCCCCCTTTGTCAGTGGTCGATCCCAATCCTGCTGCCGACAATCATGTCGCTGGTCCAACCCACAGTTCCAGGTGCGTTCGCTCCCCTGTCAGACAAGTTGCCATCGCCCGTTGTTTCAGACATCCTTGCTCCGTGAACATGTCCTGATTGCCCTTCTCCTACAACTAGAGCGCCGACCCTCGCCCGGCCTGTCGCTCAATCTGAGCTCCAATAACCCTTTCCGCCGCGCTGCTTCGCCGGGCATCCCCTCACCTGCGTTGTCGACGCCCGCTTCGCTCATCACGCCCCGCACCACCATCCCCCGTCCTGTTTCCCGCAACAACCCCTTTCTCGACGACTCTCAACAACTACAACAACAACCAAACTTTGCCAACTTTGGTCAACGCTCGCCCGCCTACGACACCATGTCCTTTTCCTCGTCGCCTCAGAAGCCCACCACCTACGGCACCGCCGCCGAGGAGCTCTTTGTACGTCTCTCTCCCCGCCAGTCCTTGTGTCACGCAAAGCCCACGCTGCGCGACCACGCACCGCGCAAGTCTTGCGCGTCTTCCCCGACCTTTTCTCGCCGACTCCCTCGCCTTCTCTCCCCACCGCCGTCTCCGCCATGGCGCCGCTCGAGAGATTCGTCGAATTCACCCGACTGTTTGCTGACTACCCGCGACCACAGAGAGAAATGAGGCTCGACGACAAGAAGCCTTCTGCGCCGAACGGTAAGTAGACTGAAGCGACGTGGCCGGTGACGCATCGCTGACACGTTGCAGGTGCGACCGAACGCCGTCCCCCGCCTCACCGAAACGGATCCGGCCCCATCCGCCCTCCCAGGCCCGGTGACGAGGACCGCCGCCGTCGTCCGCCTCCTCGCCAGCGTGGCGACGATGAGCTGGACATTTTCGCGAGCCCTCCGCGCGACCGTGACCGCCAGCAGATGAGGCGTCCTCGCCGCAACTCCGAGTCTTCCGTCATGGACACCAAGGCGATTGAGGACGAGCGCAGGCGCAGAGAGAGGAGGCGCCGGGAGAGAGAGGGCAAAGACAAGGATCCTCGCAGTGGAAAATCCTCCAAGCCCGTCAAGAAGCCCCAGGGCCTTGACATCATCGACAAGCTCGACGTTTCGGGCATCTACGGCCCCAGCTGTCAGTGAAAACGGCCCCTTTCTTTGGAATTCCTGTTGTGACTGACTTTCTGCTACAGTGTTCCACCATGACGGCCCGTTTGATGCTTGCAATCCGCACCGCAACCGCAAGAAGGATCACCGCGCTCCCATGGAGGCTTTCCCCGTAGATTCCGCCAACAACGCCATGGGCGGTGCCGGCCCCGTGAACAAGCACATCAACCTCGACCAGTTCCACGGTCGTGAAGCTGAGGGTTTCGCCGAGTGGTCTACGACGAACAGAACTGCTCCTCCTCCCGAGAATGAAGACATTGGCACCCTCAACATCAGCGGTGGTCAGGCCAACACGTGGTACAACCCCAAGGCCGCCATTGATTATGTCCACGGTGACGAGTCGGCTGGTCTGGGCACGAGCACTTTCCTGGACGGCGCGCCTGCGAGCAGAAGGGATATTGAGCGCCGCGAGTCCGAGGCTGAGGCCCAGCTGAGGGCGGGCGAAGGCCTCGGCCGCAAGAAGTCTCTCGCTCAGCGCTTCCGTGGCAAGTCCCAGCCTCGCCGCGAATTCGGCAGCCAGGGCCGCATCCAGTCTCCCGAGGCCATGTACGAGTGGCAGCGTGTCAACCAGACCCCGCAGGACGAGCTGCCTCCTCGTCCCGGTCAGACTCAGAGCGCGGGCGGCCTCGGCAAGATGCAGGAGAGGAACCCGTTCTTCCAGGACTATGACGATCCCTACGAGAGGAAGGGCGCGAGCATGAGGGTCGCCGAGCAGGGCCGTACGCGCACGCCGAGCTCGCCCGGCAACGGCCTCGAGAGGTCGACCACGGCCGACAGCTTCGGCATGCCGCCTCGCGGCCCGCCGCCGGAGCCCAACCGCGACACCAAGCCCATCGGCCTGCTCGGCCGCATGAAGAGTTTGAAGGGCGGAAAGCGTGCTCCTCCCCGTCCCGAGAGACGTCTTTCGTAAGCACCTGACTAGTCAACGCGTTGGATAGCGTATGCAGAAAAGATGTTACTAGTCGGTTAATAGGGAATCTCCATCCCGTTCTCGGGTTCTCGGCCTCCTGCGCCGCTATTCTCCTGGCAAGAGGGCCCAGCACCCGTCTGTCCAGCAACTTCAGACAATCGGAGACGAACAGGGGCAGATGTTTGCTTGGCAGTACGATGACCTGAGCTCATCGGACGGGGAAGGTCCTGAGAATGACGCGAGCGTCGCGGGCGCCTAGGGGCATGGGTCTGGACGCGGCTCTAACCCCCGCTCAATCCTTCATTTGGGTGTCGTTTCACTTTTCCCACTTTCCCCACTTTGGTTTTTTGTACTATTTTCCTACGGCATACAACAGATCCCGGACACTGGTGCGGACGGCGAAGGGGCAAGACGGGTCTGTTTTTAACAAAGTTTTTTTTTGCGCATCGGACGGCGGACGGGGGGCTCGCCATTTTCCTTTTCTATCCCCGGCGAAACAAAGGGTTTTTTGTGTTTTCTTCTTTCTTTTTTCTGCGGTTCTCTTTTTCTTCTTCTTCTGATCTTCAGTTTTTTGGCTTTTTTATTACACGGTTGCGCGCGGGGCACACATACACACACAGACAAACACAGCTATCTCGGCAGTTGGACGGGGGGGCAGGCAGGGGCGATACACGAGGAAGCCGTTTGCAGTTTTCGGTACTTGGACAAGGGGTGAGGGGGAATTCTCGACTCTAGGTTTGGGTGGCGATGGGTAGTTCGGTTCCGTTCGGTCCGTCGGTCCTCCTTTTGAGAGCAAGCAAAGGTTTCTTCTCCCCCCTTCCTGCGGCAGAGCGGGCTGGCTGGCTGGCTGTGGACGACGCACGGGCGACGCGGGGGACTTATATACACAGCCAGCTTTACCGAGCGACCTGTGGGCGGGCGAGCGAGCGAGATGGGGGGCTCTTTTGGGACGGCGCGAGATTGTTCTAGGAATAGCATAGCGAAAACAGGAATTCGAGGCTTTGAATCATGAGTTGGTGGTGCGTGTGTGGTTACCTAGGTGGTTGTCACGCGATGCTCTGTGAGATGAGGAATTCTATGGGTTGTTCGATTGCACTCCCTTGCTTGCTGAAGATATAGCGTGGCTTTCTCACGCCCGTCCAGACTCCAGAGCGACATGACGACAGGTATCCGTAGATACATACGTAGACAGGACGTCTTGCACCTACATACATTGGGATTTGCCACTCCTACGCGTCGAAGTACTCTCAAGTCTACGACAGCCATCTAGCTGGTACCTAGAACCACGACGACCACCACCAGACCTCACACGCGCCACCATCCCCACCACCACCACCACTAACAACAACAGCAACGACCGCACACGCGCACGCGCACGCGATATGCCACCACCTTCTTCCCGCTGCTAGATGGATGAATGCATGGACGGATAAATGCACGGATGAGCTGAGCAGCCACAACGCTCCTCCGCGCCGTCAGCACCTGCATCCTCTGTTCTAGTTCGTGCCCACCACCACCACCACCTCCGTCTCCCCCACTACCATCCCCGCCGCCACCAACGTCAGCGCGCCTGACACCGCCATCGCTACGCTACCGCTTACTACGCGCACCGAAAGAGGAGCGAGCGCTCACGGGGAGGAGTCGAGTCGACGATGCCGGGTTTTGCTCCTACTCCAGGTAGCACGCAGGCGCCAACGCCGACGCCAACGCCGGTGCTGGCGTCGCGGCTGTACGACGTGCGTTGTGCGCGTGACGCCAGCGCAGGTGAGAGAGCTAGGCTGGGCTCGGGGTGCGAGGCCGTAGATGAAGTGCTAGAGGGGGGCGTGGACGCGGGCGTGGGGGGCTGCGTGGGGATTACCGGGACGGGGAGTGGGAGTGAGATGGGGCGGGCGAGGGAGGTATGTCTGTCTGTCTGTCTGTCTTTTGCATTGCTTCTGCTTTTACCTATGTCTTCAACTTTCTTTGGTTGGTGTTTGTGTTATGAACCTATGTATGTATGTCTATTCTAACCACCATCTAGCTCGCCTTCGCCTTCCTGACGACGTTTCTCCTGGCCTCGTCCGCCAACTCCGCCGTCTGGATCGATACGACAGGCACGCTCGACGTGCTGCGCTTGTACGACGTCATTCTCGCGCGGCTGCGGCTTCGGCAGCGCCATGTCACCTCCACGGACCCGAACCAGGACCAGGAGCAAGAGCAGGAGCAAGAGCAGGCCCTCGAAGCCGCAGCAGTAGCCGCGCTCGACCGCGTCGCGATTATGCGGGCGTTTGACTTTGCCGGCGTGGTCGAGGCGGTGGGGGAGGTGCGCGAGCGGCTGGAGGGGGGCGGAGAGGACGTGGCTGTGGCAGTGGCAGTGGCTGAGAAGAGCGAGGGAATGGTGAATGAAGAAGAAGAAGAAGAAGAAGAAGCAGAGAAGAAGAGCCAGTCTGTAGAGCGAGCTGAGCCGGCGCGGGAAGAGAGCGCGCGCCGCAGGACGGGCCTGGCGCGCGTGCGGAGCACGATTGCGGACAGCGAAGACGAGGGGGAGGACGAGGACGAGGACGAGGACGAGATGCTGCTGGATGAGGCGTCGGCTGTGTTTGATGAGCCTGGACACCATGTCGACAAGAAGGAGCAGCAACAGCAACAACAACAACAGCAGCAAAACACCACCACTTCCCCACTCCCGCCACAAACGCAACCGCAAACGCAAACGCAAACGCAAACCCCAATCCCACCCCCAGGCCCAAAACCAGGCTTCCTCCTCCTCCTCGACAACCTCGCCCAAGTCACCGCTCCCCAGCTGAAAGCAAACTACGTGCAGAGTGCGTGCCTCTTTCCCCTCCCTCTTCCTCATTCCCACTTTCCTCCCTCCCCACCCAACCAACCAACCCATCAAAAAAACCAAGAACACAAACAACTAACACCCCCCACCCCCCAAAACAGCATCAGCAAACCTAACGCACCTCCTACGCGGCCTCGTCGCGCTGACCCGGGCGCACGCGCTGCGGACGCTGCTGCTGAACTGCACGCAGACGCACTCGCAGCCGCCAGTGCCGCTGCTCGCGCACGTGCTGCCTCGGTTTTTGGATGTTGATATTTTTGTTGGTGTTGGGGGCGGATTGCATGTGGGAAAGGGTGGTAGTGCTGGTGCTGGAGGCGATGGGGTAGGAAGAGAAGGGGATGAGGTCGAGGTTGTGGTTGTGGGGGATAGGTTTGGGGGCAGGGTTGGGCGGCGGGGATGGTGGCAGTGATAGTATTAGTGAGGAGGTGTGAGGGTGGGTGGGAAGCGGACTGCGCGTCGGGCTACCTAGATGGGCGCTCTGGCGCCAGGGACATCTGGCTGCAATTGTGCTTGCTTGCTCCTGGAGTTCGGGGTCCGGGGATGGGGAAAACCTGCACGCGTGCATACCTATTGCGTATACAACTTCACGCGCGGCGCTCTTCGTCTCTTTCTCTCCGCCTCGCGCGCATGCCGTCTCTGCGCCCTGCAGTCCACGCATCACTAACACACACACACACATACCTCAACATCAGACAGAAGCAGCAGCAGCAAGCAGCAAGCAATCCTGCATTCCTCCATTCTTCCACCCCCATTCCCAAATATACACTCCCATCCATTCCCACCCACTCCCACACCACACACCAATCTAATAAGCGCCATTGCTCTCGCGGCGGCCAAACCAGCCACGGCTCACGTTCTTGGTCTCCGGCGCGCCCTCGAGCAGGCCCAGACTGCGCACCTCGCTAGGCTTGGGGGCGTCGGCGGGGCGGCCGTTGCCGGCGGCCTCGGCTTGGCGGTAGGCCGACTGCATGGCGAAAGCTTTGGCGTACTGTGCGTGCGTGCGAGCGTTAGCGAGCCATTCCTCCAATGTCGCGAGCGAGCTTGGGAAGCAATGGGTGGGGATTGAGGTTGGGATTGAGGTTGGGATTGAGGACGCACCTCCTTCTTGTGGTGCAGGCACTCGTAGTAGTCGTCGAGCGGGCCCAGGCACTTGGCCTTGCCGGCCGTGTTGTCTTCCGACGAGTTTGTGACGTAGCAGGCCAGGACCTCTTGCCAGAAGGAGAAGCAGCGCGAGGGGCCTAGACGGGATCAGCGTGTGTTTGCGCGTGCGCGTGGGTGGGCGTGTGTATGGTATGGTATGGTATGGTATGGACGGTGGGAGTGCGCGCGCGCGTGTGGGCTGTGGACGGACGGGGCGTGGGTGTGCGATGTGCGATGTGCGGGTGTGCGCAAGGGCATTGCGCTCCAGGGAGTGCTCGTACCGCCGTTGAGACCGTAGCCGGAGGACATTGTGTAGGTCGGTAGGATCGTTGGAGGGTTTCTAGGCCGGCGTCGTCGTGAGAGAGCTAGGTCTCTCTCTCTAGGTATCGCGGGCTGGGCGCTGCGAGGTGAGGTCGGGGCTTGGCGTGTTACATAAGCTGCGTCTTTCATTCGTCGGCGCGGAGGTGCTCGGGGGTCGGGGGGTCAGGGTTGCTGCGCCGCTGCTGCGTTCCATCATTCCATTTTGCTATGTACCGAGTAGTTAACTACAGGCTGATGCTGCGCTTGTCTTCTCTCTGCCCGTCTGCTGTCTGTCTGACCTCGCAATGCCTATGGATGGCTCTGGCTGCTGTTCATCATGGCCGCTGCGCCCTCTTGATTACTACGACGAACGTGTGAGCGGAATCGTTCCTCGGCCACATCACCCAACAAGCCTCACTGTTGCTCTCCAGCCCTCCATCCGCCGCCGTCCTCGTGCGACGTGCGCTACCCGATAGCTACCCGTCGCCCGCTATCCGATGCCCTCCCGACACCACACCCACATCACGCCCAGCAGCCCCGCGCTCTGTCCCCGCGCCGCCGTGGCTGGTGGTGGAGCTGTCTGTCCATGTTAACAATCAGGCGGGTCCCTGCCGTCGGCATATAATGGCATTGGCTCGTCGTCCCCATCCACAGCTCCAACACCACCACCCTCTCTCTCTCTCTCTCGCTACCTACCGTCACCACCACCACCACAATGGCCTCCTCGTCCAACTCGGCCCCGCCGAACCACAAGTTCGATCCCAACTTCACCCGCAACGTCATCAATGCTACGGGCCCCAAGGCGTCGCCGCGCATACGCCAGGTCATCGGCAGCGCCATCCAGCACCTGCACGACTGGGCGCGGGAGAACGAAATCACCGTGGACGAGTGGATGTCCGGGCTGGAGCTGGTGCGTGTTTCCCAGTGTCTACCCTACTCTAGCTTGTCTCTAACTCTTTCTCTCCCGCAGATCAACGAGGCCGGCCGCATGTCCAACGACCGCCGCAACGAAGGCCAGCTCGTGTGCGACGTGCTGGGCCTGGAATCGCTCGTCGACGAAATCACGTACAAGCTGGCGACGTCAGCGGCGGACGCACCTACGGCGACAGCCATCCTGGGCCCCTTCTGGCGGGCGGATGCGCCCAAGCGCGCCATGGGCGAGACAATCGTGCACGGCATCGAGGGCGGCGACCACACGCTGATGCACGGCGTGGTGACGGACTACCTGACGGGGGCGCCGGTCGAGGGCGCCGAGCTGGACGTCTGGCACACGGCGCCCAACGGGCTGTACGAGCAGCAGGACCCCGACCAGCCCGACATGAACCTCCGCGGCCGCTTCACCACGGGCAAGGACGGCCGCTACAGCTTCTACTGCTTGCGGCCCACCAGCTACCCCATTCCGTTTGACGGGCCCGCAGGCACGCTGCTCCAGCTGCTGGACCGCCACCCGATGCGCCCGGCGCACATCCACTTTATCGTGCGTGCCCCTCTCTCCCCGCCCTCATTCGCGCACTCCTTCTCTTTTTCTAGGTACCAGAAACTAACCCTTCTCTCTCCCACCCGCAGGTCAAAGCCCCCGGTTACAAACCCATCATCACGCAGATCTTCGACCGCGCCGACAAGCACATCACGGACGACGCCGTCTTCGCGGTCAAGGACTCGCTGATTGTCGACTTCAAGCCGCTGCAGGGCAACGACAGGGCGCAGTTCGAGCTGCCGTACAACTTCCGGCTGGCGACGTACGACGAGGCCAAGGGCAACGACCTGAAGGGCGCGACGCCCGCGAGCACTGCCGTGTAGGAGGAGTGAGGGTGGAGGGTGTGTGTGAGTGTTGGTGTGGTGGTGTGGGGTGTGGGGAGGGTGGGTATATAGGTAGTTATGGGAAGAGGGATTTTGTGTGCTACGCACGCACGCAAGCATGTCAGGGATGTAGATAGATATAAATGCCATCAGCACGATGCGAACAACCTACCTAGGTACTCCTACACAGCTCGCATCGCAGACAACGCGGGGCAACCTACTCCTAGCAACCCCAGACGCAAACATACAAACCCGCCTCTAGCCGGCCGGCCGGCGCACCCCGCACCGCGCCGTGCCGCCCAAACCAAACCCACAGACCGCATCTACCCTATCCATTCCACCATTCCAAATTCCTCCTTGGATGCACCCATACCCGTACGCGTCCCCGCACCCGCGTCCCCCTACCCTATCGGACAGCTAGGTAGCTCACACCGACGGGCGACCGGTCGCAGATCCGCGTCCCCGCGGCACGTGGTCGCTGGCGCGCACGCCCTATGCGCGACATGCCATGCCATGACATGGCGGTGGGCGGTGCCGGGGGCGGGGTATTTATCTACGTAGGTAGTACCTCACCATAGGTAGGTACCTACCTTGATCCCCTCCCGTTACTCTTTCCTTCTCTCTTCGTTCGCCTCTCTCCTGCCCTCTCCTGTCCTCTCTCCTTCATCCAAGCCGCCATGGCCTCCCCCACGCCCCCCACCCACCCCGCCGCCTCCGCCGACGACACCACCACCATACCACTAGGGCAGTACCTCTGGGCCCGGATCCGCCAGCTCGGCACGCGCAGCGTCATCGGCGTCCCCGGCGACTTCAACCTCCATTTCCTGGACCATATTGCGCTGGTGCCGGGGCTGCGCTTTGTTGGTGCTGGCAATGAGCTTAATGCTGCTTATGCGGCTGATGGGTATGCGCGCGCCGCAAGCTCTGCAAGCTCCGACTCCTCCGCCTCCCCCCCAGGCGTCCTCGTAACCACCCACGGCGTCGGCGAGCTCAGCGCGCTCAACGGCGTCGCGGGCGCGCACGCCGAGCACATCGCGGTCGTGCACGTAGTCGGGCAGACGCCGCGCGCACTGCAGCGCTCCCGCGCATGCATCCACCACGGGCTGAGCAGCGAGGCGCCGGGGCCGGACCACCAGGTGTACGCGGGCATGAGCGAGAAGGTGCGCATTGCTGCGGCCAAGCTGTGGGATGTGGACGATGCGCCGACGGAGATCGACCGCGTGCTCGCTGCTTGTGTCCGTGGGAGGAGGCCCGTGTACGTCTTCTTGCCGCTGGATTTGAGCATGGAGCGCGTGCCGCGGGCGCTGCTGGAGCGGCCGCTGGATCTCGCGCCGCCGGAGGGGGATGCGGCGGCGGCGGCGGCGATGCTGGACGAGGCTGCGAACGCGATTCTGGAGTTGTTGGGGAAGGCGAAGAAGGCGGCCGTGTTTGTCGACGTGCTCACGGCGCGGCATGGTGGTGCGGGCGCGGCGAGGCGGCTGATACGGCGGCTGGGGCTGCCGGTGTTCAGCTCGAACATGGGGAAGGCGATTGTCGACGAGACGGACCCGCTGTTCGTGGGGTGTTTGAACGGAAGGATGGGGCGGGCGGGCGTGTTTGAGCGGCTGCAGGAGGCGGACCTGGTCATCTTGCTGGGGGATCTGCCGGGGGATACGAACACGGGGTTTTTTTCGAGGGGGTTGGGGGACGAGAGGACGGTGTTTGTTGGGCCGTTTGATGTCAGGGTGAGTGAGTGGCTGGGAGACTGTCGTTGTCTCTACGCCTTGGACGACTGGAGGAAGTACCTGTTGTATGAGAGGACTTGCTAACGCGATACCACCCACCCACAGATCAACGACAAGACCTACGCCCCCTGCCCACTCGCGCCCCTCCTCACGCGCCTCCTCGCCCTCATCCCCCCCACGTACACCCCACCCACACCGGCATTCACGCCGCTCGCACCCGCACCTCCCTCACCCACACCCGCCCCAACAGCACCCCTCGCGCAAGCGCACCTCTGGCCCCTCATCGCCGCCCAGCTCCTCAAGCCCCACGACATCGTCCTCGCCGAGACAGGCACCGCCTCGTTCGGCCTCGCCGACACGCTCTTCCCGCCGCACGTGCAGTGGCATGCGCAGAGCTACTACGGGAGCATTGGGTGGGCGACGGGCGCGGCGGCGGGCGCGGGCGTCGCTGTGCAGGACGGGTTGGCCTTGCCCCAGGCGGAGGGCGGATCGCCCCTCGTGGCGGAGGGGAGGGTGGTGCTCGTGACGGGCGACGGCAGCTTCCAGCTCGCCATGCAGGAGGTGGGCACCATGGTCAAGCACGGGCTGCCTGTTGTGATAGTGCTGGTGAACAACGGGGGGTATACGATCGAGCGGATTATTCATGGTGCGGGGCAGGGTAAGAATGTCTTTTTCCTTTCCTTTCCTTTCCTTTCCTTTCCTTTCCTTTCCTTTCCTTTCCTTTCCTTTCCTTTCCTTATCCTTAACCTTAACCCTTTCTTTCTTCCTTTCGTTGTGTTTTCCCTGATTGGGTGGAGATGGGGATATGAAGAGGAGAAGCTAACATTTGTGTGCACAGCATACAACGACATCAACCCCGCCGCGTACGCGCACCTGCTGCCGCTGTTCCGGCACCCGGCGCCGAGCTCGCATTATCGGCGGTGCAGCACGTTTGGGGAGCTGTCTGCTGCGCTCAAAGAGATCGAGGCGGCGACGGCGGCGGCGACGCAGGAGCCGTCCGCGGCGCAAGAGACGCAGGATGCTGGCGCGGGGACGGAGAGGCCAGAAGGGGCAAGGCAGCAGAACGTCCAGCTCCTGGAACTCATCACCGACAAGCTCGACGTGCCGTGGCGGCTCATGGAGACGATCAAGTCGATTGGGCCGCACAAGGTTGCCGAGTTGGAGAGGGAGGGGTTTGCTGTTTAGGCTTGCTGTTTAGGTTATGTTTTGGTTTTTAGGAAAGGGTTGGGGGCGAGGCGTTTTGGATTTACGCGTGTGTATTTATACATGGATGTTTCCATTGGCGACCGAGCACGGACAACACACTCGCCAGCCATCATTCCCAATCTTTCTCCCACGGCCCACTCTACGTCCGTGATGGAAATATCAGAAGCGCGCAAATCCCACAGCCCAAACGCAACCCAGCCTAGCCCAGGACCCAGCACGCACGTGAGCAGTTCCGGCGAAGCCTTAACCTTAAAGTAAAACCCAACCTATGTACCTACCTAGTACGTACTGCTATTCACTTATTTACTTCTGATACCTTACCCTAGGAATAAAGCCGCTTTACCTTTCTTTAGCTTACTTTTCTTTACTCGTCACTGCCTCAATAATGGCATGGATGGATGGATTCTTGGCTCGTATGCTCATGATCGCGTGTGCCGGGCTGGATTAAGGTGATGCGTGATGGTGATGGGAAACCATACCAGCAGCCACATGCAGATGAATGTCTGTCTTTATTGTCTAAGAATGTCTCGCCCCTCTCTTTCTCTCACCAAGCGACATCCTTCCAACCACCCACTCAACCAACAACCAACCAATCAATCTACTACGCCAATACCCTTCTCTCCCCATCACCCACTCCCACCACCACACCCAACACCCACCCCCATCCCCATCCCACCCCACTAAACCGCCTTCCCAGCAACCCTAAACGGATGCGCCTCCGTATTATAAACCCACTCATTGCTTCCCCCCTCACCGCCCCAAACCTGCCACTCCTCCTCCTCCGCAAACGCCAAATACGCATACTTGAGCGTCTCAGCAAAGAGGAAGCTCTCCTGATTATCGCCCGTGGCCGACCCGCCATCCGGCGCATTCACATTGTCAATGACCGAGAAGCCCGTGCCACGGCGTGCCGACGCATTCACCGCCACGAAGGCCTCCCACGCCCACTCGCGGTAGCGCGGCTCCCGCGTGTGCCGCCACGCGTGGTAGAACGACTCGAGCACCTCGGGGCGGAGGTCGTACGACGCGTCCGTGGGGTAGAAGCCGTGCTCGGCGTAGAAGCCCGCCGACGCGTTGCTGAGCCCCGCCGTGTCCCATGAGAACTGCTCCGGGCCGATGCCCGTCGCCGTCGCCGCGTAGGTCTCCCGGCACCCCGCCACCAGCTCCAGCCCGTAGTCGATGTAGGACTGCTCGCCGAGAGCGGCGCCGCCCAGGATAAAGTTGCCGCCGTCGAAGCAGGCGAGGTGCTGGCTCCTGAGGATGAGGCTGTGGTTTTGGTACTGCGCCACGAAGGTCAAGTCTGGGCGCGACGACGGGTGCGACGTCAGGTAAGCCATGGTCGACTCGACGGCAAGGATCCACCTGGCACAGACATCAGTGACAGCTTCTAAAAGAGGCAAAGCTACACAAACCTGTCCCTGTATTCGCTGAAGCGCTCCGTGTCGTACAGCCACATCTTGATGAGGTACTCGTAGAAAGAGTCGACGCCGCCGACCCAACCGCCACTCGCATCGACGAACAAGCCGTCACTGAGCCGGACGTTCGTGCCCACGAGTCCCGGCCACGGCTCGTTCCACGCCGGCTGCGGTCTCAGCAGGTAGGCCTCGGCCGTCTGAGCGAGGCGGGCATACTCGTCGTCGCCCGTCAGGTCCGACAGATGGGTCCACTCGAGCACGAGGGTGCCGATGGTCGCGAGGCCGTTGGTGGGGCTGCCGTCCGTACTTTGGTCGTAAAAGTTCAGGTTGTTGGCGGGCACGCCCGACGGCGTGTCGAACGCGAACTTGAGGCTGTCGGCCAGCACCACCGCCTGCGAGAGCAGCGCGTCGACGTCAGAAGGCTACAAGATGGTCAATGGCCGCCGTGAAGGTGATCAGCTCGAGAGGTGCACAAACATTGTCGGCGAGTTCCCGCAGCGGGCCCGTCAGCAGGTCGTACGCGGAAAGCATGCCGCCGAGGTAGCGGATCGTCGTCTCAAACAGGCTGACCGACGTGTTGGTCGTCGTGAAGTCAATCGTGGGGATGTACGTGAGGATCTGGTTCGCGACCTCCCGGTTCCTCATGATCAGTGCCGTGCTCAAGGCGTCGACGGCGCTCGCGCCCCAAGAGTTCCTGCGGTGGTCAGTTGTTGTTACCGTGAAAGGATGTGTGCCATGAGCTCACCTCGAGTCCCCATAGCCCCACGACACAGGATGCAGCTCGTCGTGCGGAAAGGCGTAGGTGTAGTAGCCATTCCAGGCAAAGTCAAAGGCCTCTTTGACGGCAGCGGCCCTGACCGGATCGGGGCCGGTCGAGTTGTCCCCGCGCGGACGGTACTGAGGGAAAGCGAAGGCGCCGACGAGGCAGGCCGCGAGCAGGCGCAGCGAGGCAGCGAGTGACGGCATGCTGGCGGGGACGACGAGAAAAGAAGAAGCAAGCAAAAATCGAGGCCGACAGGCGGTTTAAAAAGGGAAAGAGGGCGCGTTTAAAAGCACAAATAAAGACAGGGAAGCGGCAGGCCCAAGGGCCCCCGGCTTGGCCGGCCGCATCTGGTGGTGGTGGTGACGGGGGCACGCGCGAGCTCGCACCCCGGTCAAGCAGCGCTCGTGGTGTCTCTGCTGGCGCATGGCCACACCATGGCCGTCGCACGCGAGCAGCGGGAATAAAGTCACGACAGCGGCGGTGAGGGCAGAGGTGCAGACGGAAATTGGAAAAAAAGACGATGCAGATGCAGCGAGGTCGCGCAAGTGCGGGGATGCGGGCTCGGCCAGGAAGGTGGTGCACCGATCGACCGTCAGGAACCGTGCGAGCATAACAACAACAACAACAACGGTACCACAACCCTCCGCCGGTACGCCAAGATGGCTCTAGGTTGCTTTTCCCATGTTCGTACCCAGTACTCGATCAGTTTATAGCATCGGGCTCGGGCTGCCTCGGGCCCCACCTCCAGCGTATCATCTACGCATTTCGCCAACCACATTTTCTCATTATCGTTATCCCTATTCCATACGGTACGGTCCAGTCTGGAGCCGAGCCATTGCCCTATCTACCTAGGAGCCCCAAAGAGAGAGAGAGAAAGCCATCATCATCGCCATACCTGCCTCATGAACCGACCAATGCCGTGACTGAACCTGTACCAGAACCCATCCGTCCACGCCATGCACTTGTACCGAATCCCGATCCCCGCATGCCATGCACATTCCTTCACCGCCCAGAAATTCCTCCAGCAGCTTAGCTCAAGGCCCAGCCCACCAATCAGCGGGAAGATGCTCGCGGGCTCTGCCACCGCCACTGCCAGTGGCACCGCCACGCCCACCGCGTCCGCCACGCCCACCGCGTCCGCCACGCTTGGATCCTCCACGCTGAGATGTAGTAAACGACGGGCTCTGCTCGCGCTGCGGCGGGTACGGTATGAAAGCGGGGCTGTTGCCGCCCTTGCCGCGACCGCGTCCGCGACCTCCACCTCCACGCTTGCTGCCACCTTCACCACTGTCGCCATTCAGGTGCAACGCGGCAAAGTCCTTGATCGGCGCGCCGCCGTCTTCGTCCTCATCGCTGCTCCAGCCCTCATGCTCTTCGTTCACCTTCTGCACCGCATCCGCGACAGCCTCCTCAATCCGCTGCTGCAAGACCTGCTGGCGCTCTTCCTCCCCAACTTCGGTGCCCCGCTTCGTGGCCTGGCGCACGCAGATGCCCAACAGAACATGCAGCGTGTAGACGGCGTCATTTCCGCCGTTGTGAAGGTTCCAGCCGGCGAAGTCGAGATCGTACAGGCATGAGCCAAGGGAGCGAGACTGCGGTTCGCGCCGCCATGCCTTGTGCAACTTGGCAGTGTCAATGGCTTCGCGGAGGTTGGACAGGTTCAGCGGGTTGTAGCCGAGCTTGGCGAGAAAGCGGATATCGGCCTCAGGATCGTGCCCGACGAAGATGATGTTGCGCCTGTCGTCGCTGGCGAAAGGGTGATCGGCGGAGAAGGGTGGCCGGAAGCAGGACGCGATGACCGCTGGCGCATCAGCTAGGCGGACAAATTCGCTGGTGCCAAACTCGAAACGATCAGCGCATCCAGAGACGTGCTTGGAGTTGTTAAGGTGCTTGTATTCGTCGATGCGGAAATGACGCGCGCGGATCTTGTCGAACCAGTTCTTGCCATCCGTTCCGGGTGGGACGTTAATGAGGTCCATGGTGTCCAGCGTCGCAATGCCAACCTCAGTGATCTTGTTATTGTCTAGCTCATAGGCTTCCACGTCGACACAGATGAAGACGACAGAGCTGTCGAATGTGAAAGGTGCTGCCATTTCAGGGTTGATCGGAGGAGATTTTGAGGCAGGTCGAACGGCCGAGGGTTGGTCAGAGGAGGACAGTTCGTCCTCGGGAGGCTCTAAAAATGTATGTCAGCGTGAAAATAGCCAATGAGTGACAGTGGGACGAGCATGGTCAACTTACCGTTTCCAGTGAGAGCTTGCCTCAAACCCAAGTAACGCTGAGTGCGCTTGAGCTGATGGTTCCATCCGCGCTGGAGGACGATACGCTTCTGCTTCTTGTCCGCCTTGATAGCCTTGCTCCTGGCCTTGTTCAGCTCCCGGGCCTCTTCGATCTTGAGCTTGAAGTTCTCCAATGTGCGTTCATCGACAGGCGGCAGCTTCTCATCCTTGCGCGACTTGTGATGAGGGGGCGGGATACGACGTTCCATCGTGGAATACACGTCCTTTGACGTAGACCGGCCGAGGTAGCGAGGTGTGAGAGCGCGGTCCGGAATGTTGAACAAGAGACTGACGTTGTAATGGTAGTCGGTGAAGCGAAAGTCGATAAACTTGAAGGTGAGGTTAATCTCTACAATCAAAGTCCGAGCTTGGTCAAGAGTGATCAGGATGAGTGGCTTGTCGCTGGAGGTTCCTTCCGGTGGCCAGACGTAGTACCTTTGAAAGGTCAGCGAGGTCAGTCTCTTTTACTGTTCAGGGTAGCCGGTCAAAACAAAAACGGTGGAGATGCCACGACTTACAGATCCCAATGACGTTTCCAGAACTTGCCCTGGTCAAAGAACTTCTTGGCCACGCGATCGCCGTCAGCTCCGTGGAGAAACTTGTAAGGGAATTTGCTGAAGGGCAAGATGGGAACGAAGATCTGATCGTAGGCTGCACGGTCTCCGATCTCAAGCTCGCAAGGTTGAGGAGGATGCAAAGGGGCAGGTTCGGAGTCAGCTTCGACAGTCAGCTCGTCAATCGGTTGCACAAGATCTTCAGCCGTTGGGTCGACAGTGTCTTGAACAGGAGCTTGGTCAGCTCCGTCCTGAGTTACGGTCAGCTCGTCAAGCTGTGGATTGACTTGAGCGGGAGCTTGATCGGCCCAGTCTTGGGTGAAGGGGGTGGTTCCGAAGGTGTTAACAGAAGTGTTGGTGTTAGCAGAGCTAACACAGGCAGTGTTAGGTCCGGGCTTGGGCTCAGGTTCAGAATCGGGCTCAGAGGCCTTGGGGGGTGCACGGCGGGATTCTGCCTGTTTGTTTTCTTCAGCAATTTTAGCAAGGTCGTCTTGAACCATGGCCTGGAAACGCTGCAGCCTGGAAAGCGGCATGATAGCGGGGAAAGGAAAAGAATGATTGTTTGCTGCAGGATGCAGGTGTGTGCAGAGGCGGGGACCCGCGGAGACGTAGGGGGGAGCAACTGGCCGGACGGTCAGAGTGAAGGGCGAAGAAAAGGCGATAGAAACTCACTTGGCTGCTCTCCAACTTCCCCACAATGTTGCAGTTGCCAAAGCGAGCATGCACGAGCAATCGGCGCCTTGACGCGCAGTCACATGCTGGGGTGATGAGCCGGAGTTTTCCCGGGCCACCTCCAACCACCTTCGCTCTCCAACTTCCCGCCTGCGCTCGCGCGTTCGCCACCATCACACCCTGTCGCCTTTGCTTGTCCAGATATTCCGTGTCGCGTAGCCTGCAGCTGCACTGCCGTCCGACTTTGACCTGCGACATCCCTCGACGCATCGACCAGGAGCTCCGGCGCAGGCATGCACAATGGCAGACGCACTGCCTGACATGGCGCCCGCCCAGCCCCAGGCCCACCCCGACGCTCAAGCTACCGTCACAGATTTCCTCGATTACACCGAGTTCTACCCTTCCGACTTGGCCCGCTCCCTGACCCTGATCAAGAAGCTCGACGCCAAGTACCTGGAGGCCACCGCCAAGGTCCACCAACTCACAGCTCTCTACGGCACCCTTCCTTCTCTTGCTCCCGCCGAGCGCCCCGACCCCGAAGACTTGCGCAAGCAAATCTCCATTGCTCTCGATGAAGCCAGCCGTGCTCGAGAGTCCTCCTCCGCCGAGGCCGTGCGCCTGTACGAGAACACGGAGCGACACAACAACAGACTCATCACCATACGGAAGAAGCTTCAAGCCCTGCCGGAGCCGCCGTCTCGCGACCCCACGCCAGTTCCCGTCTCGCCGCAGACTACTAGGGCGCGTAAGGAGGCGGAGCGAACTCCGCGGATAATGTTGCACGTTCCCGACACACCACGTCCTCGCACCACGTCCACGGCGCGTGTGCAGAAACATCGCGAGCGGAAGCGCAGGGCCATGGCTGCCATCGTGCCCGGCCAGGTCATGCCTGCAGGGAGTGGCTTGTCTCCAGCACCAAGCGGTTCTGACTTTGATATGCCAGCTTCTCCCACGCTCTCAGACTTTGGCGACGACCTCGAGGGCGAAGCGCCTGGCAGGGTCAAGATCCCCAAGGACAAGAAGCTGCTCAAGCCCAAGGCGCAAAAGGCGCCACGTGGTCCCCGACCACCTGGGGTTATGGGCACGAATGTTCACAGTCAGGTCGCAGGAATTTCGACAAGCAACGCCCTCGCACAACTCACCCCTCCACCGCCAGACGCTAAGCCTGGAAGCAAGTGGGCACCATGGCACAAACTGACGGAATACGAGATGGCGGTGCTGCGCAAGTCGATGAAGAAGAATGCAATCTGGCAGCCGAGCGACACCATGATTCGTCGCGAGCTGTCCGCCAAGGGACGCGGATGGGAGAACTACAAAAAGGCACGCGAAGAGGCTGACGCCAACGGAGAGCCGCTTCTCGACGAAGCGCCCATGGACCCAAACAAGGAAGTGCTGGATCCGGGTGAGACCAGCTTTAAGCCGCTGGGCAAGGAAGAGCAGAACTTGATAAACAGAGGAATGAAGCTGAACGAGATGAAGAAGTTGAAGCGGGAGGCAACACTCCGGGAGCAGGCGGCCCGCGACGCCCAAGAGGTCGAAGACGCCACTCGGAGAATGGCTGAAGCAGGTGCGCAGATCAAAAGTCTTTTCGATGGCCCACCAATCACGCCTTTCGCAGTCGACAAGAAGAAGGACGCAGTCCCCAGGTCGGCGAGGAAGCGCAAGCGCGAATCCGTGTCCGAAGCCACCCAGACGAGTGAGAGCAGGCCATCCGAGACGCCGGCGCCGGCGCCGGAAGAAGTCCCCAGATCGACTGGCCCAAAGAAGCTCAAGCTCAACCCGCCCGCATCGCCACCGAATGACGTCGAGGCTGCAGAGGAGGCACCACTTGAAGAACCCGACGACGAAGAAATGCTTGATGCGCCTGATGCGCCCGCTGCGCCCGATGTGCCCGACCCCCCCGATGCAGCCAACGAAGGCAACACTTCTCAAGTTCCGCTCGCGCCCGAAGGTCCCGTTTCCTCGAATGCGCCCAGCGCCGCCGCCTCTCGTGCGCACTCACCCGCGCCGTCGCCAATCCAAACGCAACCTCCAGCCCAACCCCAACCTCAACCCCAACTCCCAGCTCCACCACGCCAACTGAGCCTCCCGCTCACTACTACGGCAGCAGGCACGCGTTCACGCCGCACGTCGGTTGCGCCCAACGCGAAGACATCGACGCCGCACCCGGAGGAGCCGCGATCGACGCCCGCGCCATCAACGGACCCTGCCACCGTGCCGCATGATTCGATAGTTCGTCCACGGTCCCATGGCGCCGCGTCGGCAAAGGCCGCATCGGCAGAGCCGCCGGTCAAGCGCGATATGCGCGAGTTGCGGGAGCTGCGGCGCGCGAGCAACTCGAGCTTGCCCTCGCCGGCGGAGCAGCAGCATAAGGCAGTGACGTCGGCCCCGGCAGCGGGGGCTCCGCTGCGGGCGTCGGGACGGCGGGGAGGGAGACGGCCGGCGCCGGGCGTGCCGACGGCAGATGAAGACGGGAAGAGCAAGGTCGTTGTAGGGCGGAGAAAGGCGGCACCGGGGAAGAAAAAGGCCGCGGGACGGGGTGGGAATGGGAGCGGGAGTGGGGGTGAGGAGAAGGCTGATGCGCTGGCGTCGACGGCGATGCAGGATGAGGTGGCCGAGGATATTGATCCCGATGAAGCAAGGTACTGCCTCTGTGATGATGTGTCGTATGGGACCATGGTTGCGTGCGAGAATGAAGGGGTAAGTTTCTGTTTCCTCCAATTTCCCTTCGCTGGCTCTTTTGCTTTTTGTCATGACAAACAACTCACTAACATGGTGTTGCGACAGTGCCCCCGTGAGTGGTTCCACCTCGCCTGCGTCGGAATAACGGGCATGCCGCGCCGCCGCGCCAAGTGGTACTGTCCGGAGTGTCGGGCAGTGCTGAAGGTGGACGAGTTTGGCAACCCGCTCGAAAGCGACGAGAACTCGGCGGGTAAGGGAGGGAAGAGGAGATGAACGGGGCGGTGTTGGGCTTTTAGATGGGGAGAAGGGGGCGAGGAGTCTGACGTTGCAGTTGTAGGATCTTTTTGCTACCGGCTATCGCTCGCGGGTATTAATGGTTATGGCTATGGTTATGGGATTGGATGAACGCACCCTCTCGCAGTGCGGTAATGGCTGGGTTTTCACGGTGTAAAGGTAGATACCAGGCGCTGGGCGCAATATCGAATCGACTGCTGGCTTTCTTTTTTTTAGTTGTTTAATGCTTCCCGCTTCCCGCTTCCCGCTGAGCCAGTAAAGTCCGTACCTCACTATGCCCTGCAAGCTCTGCTAACATTCTAGGCGTATAACCATTAGGATCTTCTGGATCGATACTGGCACCCTTCTCTAGCAGGTACGTAACAAGATGAAAATCTCCATTCCTCGCTGCATAATGTAACGGTCTGCCTTGACCATTTTCCCAGGTTGAATTAGGGCAGATCCAGTCCGGATCGAAATCGTCGGCATTGACATCTGCCCCGTACTCTTCGACAAGCAGTCTGGCGAAGTCGAAATGGCCAATCCTCACGGCCTGGTGAAGGGCTTTTGAAAAGTTAACATCGGCACCGTAGTCGAGCAACAGCTTCCTCGTTTCGGGCGGAGTGTCGTCCAGCATCGCAGCCAAACGCAGAGGGTAGCCGTGATGGTCCACCAGAGCGGGCTCGCCATTGGGGTCGGCGCCGCGCGCGAGCAGCCAGGCGAGGAAAGATACTGGGGCGCGGTGGAATATCGCAAGCGCAAGTGGGCAACCACAGTAGCCGCCCAAGTTTTCGGTGATGTCCCAGCCGCCCCTTATTAGCGCCTCGATCATCGGTTTCGATTGCTTTCGAACAATGTCTTTTCGGTTGAAGAGCCATGTGGGGTTCCCTTTGCCTAGAAGGTGCTCTATGAGATCGACGCGTGAGTTTTCGACCGCGACTTCGGCTAGTTGGCGGTCCGTTGGGGGATCGGTGCAGGTTGTGAGAGTTGTGAGAGCATCTTCGATGGGCTCCTTGGCAAAGGCCGCTAAGACTTGCGCTTGTGTTGCCATGGTCGTCAATTGGTTTCGTAGTTCAAGTTGTAATACGCTGCGGTCATCTCTTCTTTATATGCTAAGCCTGGTGGTTTAACTGCCTAGGCGACGTGTCTTGGTCATATTGGACCTCTGAGTTAGGCCTCATGCATGGACCATGTTCAGGTGGGGGCCAAACTGTGGGGGAGTGTCACTGTCAATGCTAGGAAAAATAAAAAGGCGTATGTATCACCGTGCGTTAGGCTGCGGATCGATTGCGGTCTGAACTTTAGAGTAAATAGCCACACGGGGCCTACATATAAGTAACTTCGAAGAACTAATTTGTTATTTAGTAGCTTATGGTTGCGTGGAGGTCCATGGTGCAAAGGCATCATGGAGAATAAGGCCATCCAATACTAAGGGATGGGGACGAAGTCCTACATTTCCTTTCTACTGTATTTGCTACCTTTGTGAAAAGATACGTTAGCAAACGCCATTATATTTTTGCGTTTATCTGAAATTGCTTAGCCCATACCTTTATATTTACGTAGTAACTTCACCATCCCTGTCTCCATTATATCCGTTAGGATTTTAAGACGCTTGGATGTATTAACGCAATATGTTAGGAGGTAGGTACCTGCCTAGATTTCGCAAGACAGAAGGTCAAGGCTTAACTACGTAGTGCTGGCTTTGCATTTTGGATATCGGAGACTATTTTCTGCTTTATTTCCATGTCATTATAAGGAACCAACTCTTTAAGTCGTCGACCATAAGACTTTACCACTATCTCTTCCCTAATCCTTCTTCTCCTCAGCCCTCTCCATCGCCGTCAACGCCTCCACCAACAACTCCCTTGTCCTGGCATCCGTCGCAGAATCCCGCAGCGACCGTAAATTTTCCTTCCAGTCACTCCACTGCTTAAGATTCTTCTTTACCTCATCCTCGCCGTCCTCAAGGACGGTAAACTCCCCTTTACGTGTCTGTTCCCACAGCACTTCTCCCGCATATATAAACCACAAGCAAGCAGCCCTTACGGCAAGCTCAGTAGGCAGGCCCGGCTCAACATACGACCTAAACACGTCTCTGAGTGCCGCCGGGGCCCAGGTCCACCTAAAAAAGTCAAGTTTGATGGCTGGGACGGCCATAATCTGCGCCGCCAAGGTGGTGAGAGGCTCCCAACGGGCGATGTCGTCGGGCCAGCTTGTCGTGTCGTTGGGATCTGAAATGTTTTAGCTTTTTTCTGGCACTGAGAGAGAATGGGTGAAATTGGGCTTACCGAACGAGTTCATCTCGTTCCCGAAAGCGAATCCAATCATGGGTAGATCAGCCCACACCTCCATTTCCCAATAGCGCACGACTTCGCCCGTCTTAGGGTCCGACAAAGTGGTTTTTTGCAGCTCCTCGAGCACAGTGATGAGTTTTTTCTGCTGGGCTGGCGAAGCGCGCACGCCGGCTTCAAGGAAGCCGTTCCCGGTACTCTCGAGTTGCCAGCCGAGAACCCGCTCATCTTGCTCGTTGGCTTGGAGCGCAGCTTTGGTGAGATTTACGATTTTCTGCGCCGTGTCTGAGGCCGAGATGTCGTTTTCTTGAATGAATGCATTGAAGATCTTGTACTCTTCTATATTTACTCGATCCGCGACTTCGATGGCATGGTTCCGGCGGGAAACATCTGGAGTGAGCATGGTAGCAGGAGTGCACGTAGGACGGGCCGTTGGGATGGTGTTGGAGGGTTGGTGGGAAAGGGAATTTCGCTTTTTAAAGAAAGAAGCGCAGGGCTACAGCCATTCGGTGATCAATAACGTCATTTCACCTCGGGTGGGGGCCAAAAGTCCGTTTTCGGCAATGCTCGCAGCATTTAGAGGCTACAGTAGAGTCGGCTTATAACGAAACAAATTTTTTAGAGATTTCGTTCGTTATAAGGCGAATTCGTCTTATAGTTTGCTGACAAACTAGCTTAGAAAGCCGTGCTACTTCCTAATTGGGTAGTTATCTGACCGGATGCCGCCGGTCATCCATCCTCTTACGTACCTAGAGATGTCTAGAAATGGTCTAATCCCCTTACACGGGCCACCTTGCGCTACTTCCGCACTCTTTTTATAACAAATCTAGCTGGATCCTTACGAAATTCGCTGTAAGGTAATTTCGTTAATTTCTTATATAAAAAAAAAAACTGAGATTTCGTATCCGTTCGTTATACCCCGATTTCGTTACCTCGGAGATTCCCGTTAGCCCGACTCTACTGTATAGGGGTTTTACCCGAAGTGGGGTCGAAAATTCCCTCTTCGGCAATGCTCGCTGCATTTGGGGGCTATAGGGGCTATAGCCCCCAATTTAGCGGAGACAATCGACCACGGGGCCTCCTCGGGCTAGGGTCTATCTATTACCATCTTTATACATCTTCAAGTGCACTGTTTTCACTGAGGTCTTATAGTCTCGTGTTTGACGTTTGACCGTAACGACGTAGGATTCTGTCTGCACATCCGTCTATCCGAAATTCGAATTCCAACATTCGCTTCGAACTCCAGACCCCAACGCTGCATATGCTATGGGGTCACGGATGGGGCCACGAACTTATACTCAAGACGAGTCTTCATGTATATAAGATAGACTCGAGAGGCTCTAAGGAACTCATCACAAGCAATCAACACAGTCTTTCATCCTCCATTCAGTCCTTCCTTACAAAGCACTCTCTTGTTCTACAAGACCAACAACTCAACATGTTCTTCTCGTTCAAGTCCGCCTTTCTCCTCGGTCTCGTGGCTGTCTCTGCCGCCAGCCCCATCGCCAATCCCGAGGCCGCTGCTGGAGACGTTTCCTTCGCCAACCACCTGCACGCTAGAGCCCAGATTCCTGCTGGCGGCGTCACATGCGCTGGCACACACTACACACATGATGATATCGAACACGCGCTCCAACAAGCCAGGAGGGCTCAAGACCAGGGAGGCATCCGCAACGGACAAGGGAGCACCTATCCCAAGACCTTCGGCAACAAAGGTCCCTCAGCCGGACCTAATAGCCTGAAGACCAAGCAAAACCCTGACGCGCTGGTTTTCCCTGCTATTAAGAAGCAGTTGTACGAGTACCCTATGGGGCCTGGTGGCGTATGGGATGGTAAGTTCTCCATTTTAATTATATATACTATTATCCTCCGTCATTTTAAAGAGGTTCTGGGAACATTTTTCTAATTTATGCATTATAGGACACCAAGCCAGGCACTCAGCCGCCGTTGTCATGAAGGAAGACTACTCTTACGTTGGCCTTATGGTTCACAAGGGTGGAGCCAACAACTATGTGCCCTGCTAAAGGGATGTTGTTGTCGGAATAGATAACGGGCTTAGCGTGGATTTCCTGATCGGGTCGTTTGGTCTGTTTGCACATTCTACAGTCTTTACCGAAATGGTTCTACATGTATGCTAGTATCTTCTTCAATTTGAAATTCTAACTTATAAACTTGCGAAATTGGCTTTGTTTTATTAAGAATACTTGCTTTTATATTTAACGTGTTGTTTTGTTCTTCCCTACAGCTACCTCTCCAAGAAAGGGTCAATGTTCGTCATTGTCAAGCGAGATACACCACCCAATGCCATGATTATGCATGTATGGAAAAGAACAAATCCAAGTTTGAATATTTATGATATGTGTACGCGCTAAGATCTCCGCATTCATACCGAAGGCTTAGGTATATTGCTGGACGAAGTGTATTCCGTAGGGATTGCATGTGTCCGTTCCTACCATCTCGGTGATCGGTAGGTCGCGCTTAACGGTGAAGGGAAAAGTTCTAGGAGTATCTGAGGATGAAATAGCCCGTTTGAACAAACACTATTGCAAATTTGAAATAGATAAGAACTTTCTTCTGTGTCTCCTTCCCTTATAACTCAGAGCCAGTATTTTTCCACTAATACTATGAAGGAGTCGTGTTATTATAAGCAGCCGACTCTATTTCACCCTACGTAAAGCTTGCATCACCAACAGGGGATTCATTACAAGACTGGCAGGTTTCGGCATAGATACTTGAAATTTCTTTTAAAGATTGATAGCATGTTAAGCTCAAACGCTTTATGGCCGTGAAGCATCCTTACTTGCAAGTACACCCCTAGCATTTTCCACTCCTACAGTTTTCCTAAAGTCCGTTACAGCCATTCTTATTGCAAGGCCCAACGGTATGCTTTCCTTATTGTATTTTCCACATGGGTACCCGTTGTATTCGCCTTAGGTACAGGTGTCGATGATTTCCGAGGCACCGGAAAACTTCGGTGTACAGCATAAATAGACGGTGGTTAGACAGGACTTCGTCAGATATGGACAAGGGAGAGTTTTGAAGGGACTAGAAAGTAAGATGATTGTAATACGGACCATTCTTATAACAACTACCGAGCATTTTGCAGTTGTCAGTAGCAACTGCACGCTTTCAGCCACGAGGCCAGCGGAGACGACAGTGGTGGCTGCGACAACGAGGAACGAAGATAAGGTCTTTGAAAACGAGCATCTTTGGAACAGTCGATAAAGATATAGGATGATTAGGTTAGTAGTTTACTAAGGGATCTGAAGTAGTGGCGATCTATATCCTGAAGGCGAAAGAGTAATAATTTATATATTTACTTCCCGCCTTTATTTCAGTCGGTAGTTCTGGGTCCATCTGGAGCTGGTGTGCTATCTGGGTTGCACCTGTCAGCATCCCCGCTGCCCGGGGCAGGATTCACTGATCTCGAGATGGTGCCAAGGGCCCAAGGGCGGGTCATATATGTCAGATTTCGAAGACAAAGGATGTATTTGTGTGTAGGAGAGAGTAGAAAGCTGTTAAACTAACGCCATATAGTTGCCGATTTTAACATCTGCCTCTCTTATTGTGGTTGTGCTTTTCACAGTACTTTAGGTTAGAATTGCGAATTACGCAATTAACCTGTTGGAAATTCGAGCTCCTCGCCAAGCTTCGCAAGCACTGCCGCATTAGACGTTGGATTATGGTGGTACGGGTGCCTGGGGAGCCCTGCAGATAAATACGGGGAGTGGGGTGATTTTAGGCACCGTCGGATGATTCACCGGCTTCGCGGGCCGTGCCGGGTACCTGACACTGACAGTTTATTCCATGTACATTTGCCCCCAAGGCCGTGAACAACTATGAGCCAAATTTTGCTTGTATTTTCTTTTGAAGACTTTCCAGTAAAGAACTAATATAAATATCACCCAACATAACCGGCTGTGCAACACATCGTTTTCATATGCACCTTTGCTTTTATTAAAGCTTCCTTGCGTCGGCGCATCTGATGTCAGCAGCCACCAGATGCCAACCATGCACGTCAGTTTTAACGATTGCTTTTTCTCATTCAGTCCTGTCCTCTGCCAACACCACTCGCATGCTCGCTTCTGTATGCCATTATCGCCAACGTGCATCGAATTCGTATTCTGTGACGTAGGCACTGCACAGCCGTGAATAGCCGAAGATCATGAGAACGAGGGATTCAGCCAATCAAGCAAGCCTGACTGGGTGTAGCTGCAAGTTAACAGGATCTTCCTTGGCCGATACTGATGGAATGGGATTGGATAAATATCTCATGTCTAACAAAAGACCAGTACGCATTTGGAAGCTAGTGACTTATCTATAGCAACCAGTAAGGCTAATCCTATTCTAACAACATGATCGGCAAGGTGGCTGGGTCTTGTGTAACATGTTGGAGGAAGAGGTAAGCGAGTTGAACAGAAAGAAAGACAACAACTTCAGAATCCTTACAAAATTCAGCCAACAGTTAACACATTACCAACCAGGACATGCTGGTTGTATGTATGACAACTGAATGTCTCTGCTACAATAATGGCTCTCCTCGAGATGAGAACGCGGTCTGAGTTTTGAATGAGAAGGTATATCTACTTCATATAAATGAACCAAGCTGTTAGGAAGTTGTTTGTTGTACGTAAGAAGATGTTGGAACCGCAAAAGTTAGAGGTTTTCTGGAAAAATTCCTCGTATGCTGCATTCTTCTTTGGGACGTCGACCTGTCCTTCATTTAGCTCCCAGCTGAAAGTAGTTCAGCTTGCGAGTTATGACAAACCTTGTTGTTCAGACCCAACTAAGTGGGCATAGCCTGACTAATCGTTGGCCAGTCCTCAGTATATAATAAAGGTCGAGCAAGTCCTTGTAGAAGCCAGCAACAAGATCTCATCAACTCCTTACAATATTACCAACCAGACAAATCCACGAATCCAACATGCACTTCCCCTCTTTCACCAGCATTGCGGTTGTCGCCCTCGCCTTCTCTTCTACCACCTCAGCCTACTGTTTCAAAACCGGACAGTCCTATGCCGACAAGAACAAGGCCAAGGGCTACGTCAGCGGTATCTGTAACAGTTGGCATAACCAAGAGCTGGCACCTTCCCAGGTTGTGTCTACTTGCAAGGACGGAGGCTCAGGAACACGGGTCAACTTCTCTCTCACGAACCAATCGGGCAGCAAGAGTAGAGTGAACACGAACGATTGCATTAACAGGTTCACCGCGGAGATCAACAACTGCAACAAGGGCAGTAGATATGATGCAGGCAACTTCCACTACCGGTAAGTCGAACAGCAACTTTACCAATATACGTCGTCTAATGGTCGTAGTGTGGACCCGAACAAGGGAGGCTGCTAGAGCAATAGCACTCTGGAAACGCGATTTCGGTCATATAAACACCGGTTAAACCGATGATTATATTAAAACCAACTTGTGCCAATTGGAGGGTGAGGAGAAAGACCACACTCGTTTATCTAGGCTGCGGGAAGTGTAGCGCTTCTTTACAGAGTTGGAATCGGTCCCGTAACATGATTGGGAGACAAAAGACGCTACTGCAGTGTAACTTAGCACGTCTATAAAAACCAAATCTTCCTCAGTTGCTTACTGGCCCTAGTGCTTTCCACGTATATTGGCAGGCTTTGTTGTGCTGCGTGCACAAATTCCTTAATGGTAAACCCTTTATCTTCACTTTTCTTTCATACCTCATCCACCGCCTGGCTTTCGTGTTCTAGTACACTCAGCACTGCAGACTTGTCTAACCATCTAATTTTGTACAGATTGTAAGATGGAAAGGGTGCACTTGCTGGGGAGGAAAGTGACGAGGTCGATTTGCGCATCGTCGCTCACCTTCACGAAGTAGTTACCCGGAACTTGACCCCTTTCAGCTGCGCTAACACGTCTAGGCCTTAATCGGTCCCGCCAAGCTTATTTCCACCTCGATCCTTCGGACACTCCGCATCCCCACTTCAACTCTTCAAGACGATGGCGGGGCCGATCTTGCACGCGCTATAGCTAAGATAGGCACATGCACTCCATTTCAGCTATCAACTAATACAGCCACACGCTAAAACTCAGCTGTCGACTGATACACTCATATCCCCAAGTGCGGCTGAGCCTCAACCAGCGAAAATATAAAACTAATCCATAACCATGTCCCCTTTCCCAGGTCGCGGCAGTCTTTCCGTGCATCTCACGGTGCATATCCATTCTTTTCCATCTAACCCGTCACTCACTCAACCATGAAGCCCACCCTCGTCGCAGCTCTCGGCTTCTATGCCGCCGCTGCATCGGCCTTGCCCAGCTTCCCCGGCCTGGGCAAGCGCAGTGGTTGCCCTGTGGCACCGTATGTCTTTCTCCACAAGTAACAAGAAACAAGAATTAATGTTCCCCGCAATGTAGAGCCAGCGCCATCACCCAGACCCTGACACAGACTATCGTCCAAACCCGCACGGCCACCGTTACTGACATCCGTGTGTACCATCTCCGCACCCCACTCCTCATGCCCTGCTCATGATATCTACAGGCACCACCACATCAACAATCCATCTCCTCCCCGCCACGCAAACCATCACCCTCTCCGCCGCCCCCACTGTTGTCACTATCCCCGCTCAATCCGTGTCCCAGGCCCAGTCTCAGTCCGGCCAGCAACAGCCTCTCACCGTGACTCTGTCTGGTGAGCCCCGCATCATCACCGTTCCGGCGGAGCAGCTGCCAGCTGTGACGTTGGCGGCGCCCGCGCAGAGCACCGTTACTATCACTTTGGGCGGTGGCGCCGCGGCAGCGCCTGCAACCATCACGAAAACGGTCACACTGGGTGCTCCTGTGACCCAGGGATCGGATGCTGCAGGTGCTGTTGCCGCCGTTTCGGCTCCGTCGGCGTCTGTCGTTGCCGGTGCTGCTGGCTCTGCCGCTCAGTCACTGAACGCTGGTGGCGTTGTCCCTCCCGCACAGTCTGTTGTCACAGTGCAGGGATCTACTTCCGTTGTTACGGTTCCTGGCTCAACTGTCCTTACTACCGTCACGGTGCCCTACAGCACTACTACCAGCGCGGTGGTGGTTGCGCCGTCAGTTGTCACCATCACTAGCGGTGCGGCGCCCTCTGTTGTTACAGTCCCAGGCTCTACGATCGTGAAGACGGTGACGCTGTTCTCGACTGTGACGAGCACGCTTGAGGTTCCGGCGTCGATTGTTACAGTTACTGCGTCTGCATCCACTCTTGCTGTCGCTGGCTCGCCTTCGGCCGTCACTGTTTCCGGTTCCCCTTCGGCCATCACCGTCCCTGGCTCTTCGTCTTTGACCACCATTACCCTGCCTTCCACGACTCTTACGAGCACCGTTCAGATTCCTGCTTCGGTCATAACAATCTCTGGTTCTCCTTCCATTGTAACTGTCCCTGGCTCTACGTCTCTGACCACTATTACGCTAGCCTCTACGACGCTGACGAGCACGTTGACCGCACCAGTTTCCGTCGTTACTAACTCCGGTTCTCCTTCCGTTGTTACCATCTCTGGATCTCCCTCCATTGTCACTGTCCCTAGCTCTTCGACCTTGACTACCATCACACTGCCTTCGACGACGCTTACCAGCACTGTCGAAGTCCCTGCTTCTACTATCACTGTCTCTGGTACCGAGTTTACAACGGTGACATTGGATTCGTCTTCTACTCCATCGGGATCTTGTTCAACTGAGAGCACTACCGGGACGGACTCTGCTACTTCGACTGATGTTTCCACCGATGCGACCTCCACTCAGGTGTCTACATTGACTGGAACTTCTTTGGCCGAGATCGCTACTACGGCTACTTCTTCTACTGATCCGGCCATCTCGACCGGAACTTCGTCGGAGGGTACTACGTCCACTGCGGACCCGACTTCCTCAACTGAGACTTCATCTGACGCTGCAACCTCTACTGAAGTGCCCACAACGACCGCGACTTCTTCCGCCGAGACTACTTCCACGGAGGCATCTTCCACTGACGCTACTTCGACTGAGGCTACTACTACTGCTCCTTCCGGCCCTACTGGTACTCTCGTCGTAAACGGTGATTTTGAGACCGGAGACGCGGACCCGTGGACCATCACTTCTGAAAATAGTGTCGTATCAAATAACTGCCATGGCGGCAGTAACTGCCTCCAAATGATGGTCGACGCTCCACCCACTGCATTTGTAAACAACCTTATTCAAGTCATCAACATCACACCAGACTCGCAGTACAAGTTTAGCATGTACATCCAGAATGTCGACTCCGATCGCGTAATGTGTTCGGTCCGGGCAGTTCTGCAGGGCATTCGCACTCCTCTTATCGAATGGACTACTGTCACCGGAGGCGATTATATGCACCTCACTTCATCCGTTTTCATGAACTTGTATTCATCGGATATTCTCAACATTGCTGTTAATTGTTGGACATTTGTCGATGACGGAATAACCTCTGCAAATGTCTGGGTGGACGACATCAGCATCACGCCCGTTACCGTCACTAGCACTGCCTCGGACGAGACTTCTACTGCTATTACGGCTACTGGAGATGCTTCCGCTACTGCGCCTACTTCGACTGACGCCTCCACCACTGACATCGATGCACCGGCTAGTTCAACTGACGTCTCGGCCACTGCCACCGACGCACAAACCACTTCGACTGGAGATGTCACTTCTACTGATGTCCCGCAAACCACTTCGGCTAGCGACTCTACTTCTACTGCCGCCGTCCAGACTACTTCGACAAGCTCTGTTTGCATTTCTCCCACTATCCCTGCTAGCCCCATTGTCGTGAACGGTGGTTTCGAAGATGGCACCTCTCCTTGGACACTTGACTACACATACGACAACGGCCAGACCGCTGCTGTTGTCACTGCGTCACCATATAGCTTCGTTCACGACGACCTCCACTCATTGGAAGTAGGCGTTAAGCTCTTGTTTAATCAACCGACTGTTCCGGAGATCGGTGACCTTACACAGGATATTACCCTTACCACTGGCGTACAGTACACATTCAGCATGTGGATCCTTCGCGAGGGGACCGACACCTCTACATGTAGTGCCTCGATCTCGCTGTCATCAGCAGGAACAGTTTTGGCTGATACCGTTGTCGATACCGCCGAGTGGATTCAGATCACATCAGAGCCGTTCACTGCGACTGCGGACTCCGACACCCTTTCCCTCAACTTCGTTTGTCATACTCTTGGCTACAGGGGTGGTATGACTTCAGGCAAATACTGGCTGGACAATATCGCCGTCACTCCATTCGACAGCTGCGCTACCGCCGAGACGACCACAACTGATGCTCCTACTACAACCGATACCTCCGCTCTTGCGACATACACTGATTGAGTAATGCGGACGAGCTCGTGGTTTGATAAATAGCTAGTGGAAAGAGTTAATTTTAATTGGTTGATTGAAGTAACCACTGTCAGCACCACTGCATCAGTCTCAAATTGGATGTATTATGATTGTCTACTGTGCCACACAAGAACCATGTTTCAGCCCTTATCACCTCCTCACTTTCTTGATTTATAATTGCTATATATATTCACCATCGCAGCTGCTGCTCTATGGTCTACACAGCTCTCTTAGAGTAACTCCATCATGTCCACTTCAATCACCTCCAACCCCAATTTTGGCTACGATACCTCGGCCGAGGAGGTCGCAGCAAGCTTGGCTCCTTCTATCGCAGGCAAGACCATCCTCGTCACTGGCGTCACTCAAGGAGGAATCGGCGCGCATTTCCTCGACGTCGTCGCGTCGCACAACCCAAAGACGCTGATTCTCGCTGGGCGAAACCCCAAGAACACAGCCACTGCTATCAGCAACGCCCATGTTGGAGTCGAAACACGCACGGTCGAGCTGGACTTGAGCTCGCAGGCCAAGGTGCGTGAGGCCGCTGAGGAAGTCCTCTCATGGCCTGGCCCCCTTGACGTCCTCGTCAACAATGCCGGCGTCATGGCTGTTCCTCACCAGTTGACGGCCGACGGCATCGAAATGCACTTTGGCACTAACTTCCTCGGCCATTTCCTCTTCACCAACCTGCTCATGCCCAAGTTGCTGCAGTCGGAGCTGGGGCCACGAGTTGTGAATGTCAGCAGCGACGGCCATCAACTGAGCGATATTCGATGGGACGACTTGGACTTCAAAGTATAATCACTTCCCCGCAGAAACAATTGCCTTGGCTGACGTCAATCTCACTGCCTAGAAAGGTGAGGTATACGAAAAGTGGCGTGCGTACGGCCAATCAAAGACGGCCAACATCCTCTTCAATACTTCATTGGTGGAGAAGCTCGCCGCGAAAGGCGTCAAGGCTTTTACACTCCATCCCGGTATCATCCAAACAAATTTAGGCCGACACATGCGCCCAGAAGACTTCGCTGCCCTAGGTAAGTTTGAAAAGGTATCTTGCAAGAAATGACTACGTTCTAACCAGTATTGTAGAGGCTTTCGCGAAGGAAACCGGGGAGAAAAGAGGCGAGCAAACCACTTTGAAATTTAAGACGATAGGTCAGGGCGCAGCGACCCATGTTGTTGCTGCTTTTGATCCCAAGCTCAATGGTACGTCATGCACTTCACGCTCCTATTGTTTACTCGATTGCTTATCGCATTTTAGACCATAACGGCGTCTACCTATTCGACTGTCAGCTTGCGGCTCCAAAAGAGCTTGAACCATACGCCGTCGATAAAGACAGTGCTGCCAGGCTCTGGGAGTTGGCTGAGAAGCTTGTGGGCCAGAAATTCTCCTACTGAATCGCTTCATACATGTGACTCGCTGATGAATGTGGCACATTTCGTTTTGAGATTGTAAATGGTCCTCTTGAATAATACATCTATTCTCCTTGCGAAAACATGTGCAAGCTTTTCGTGGAATGGTGACAGTGTCATAGTGAGATGGGTGCAGATATCTTATAAATAACGATTGGAAAAGTGGTGAGTCACCTTCAAAACCGTGGAGTACCGAGATATAAAAGATAGCTACAGAGATGCTTTGTAAAGCGAACAGAAAATGCCCTTGGCTTCTTCCTGTACCTCTCGAACGATATTCCCTGCACCATCCACATTCTTAACAAGACCAACACCAGCTCCCACATATGTAGCAAGCCGACCATCAGGTCCCCATCCACTATCTCCGGATTTCTGAGCTTCGTCATGTAATCTTTTCAGTTCTTCGAATGGCACACCGGCTTGATGATCCACAAAGCTCTTGTTGATCAACGTGCGCGGACTGAACTGCTCTGGCCAACCCATCGTTCCTCGGAGATGGTTGTAAAGCATGGTCCTCGTCGTGCTTTTTGCTCCATCCGACGCTCTAAGAATTTCGTTCTGGTACCCCTTGCTGATTTCGGCTTCACTGGATGCCAAAAAGCGCGTTCCCATGACTGCCGCGGCAGCACCCAGTCCCAACACCGACGCCACTCCTCTACCATCCACGATTCCACCGGCAGCGGCAAGAGTGATATTCGAGCCTTTCAGCGCGTCCGCAACTTCGGGAAAAAGCACATTGATACCCAGACCGTCGGATGCTCTGCCATGCCCACCAGCTTCCGCTCCTTGTATCACCAACACGTCAGGCGCAGCTTTGCTCTTTGAAGCATCGATGGCCTCGGCTAGTGTTCCAACTTGTATCCAAATTTGGGTGCCCGGCGACGCGTTGCGGATTTGTTGCATCCACTCGTCGATTTCTTGCTGTCCCTCGCGAGGCGCGAAAAGCCACGCGGCGCAAGGGCGATGGTCTTTCACAGCCGCGGCAGCGATTTTAGAATCGCCATCCCAGATCTGGAAACCTACGCCAATGGGCAGTGTCTTGCTGTCGCTTGCTCGAAGACGCGGGAGGGCCGGAGACGTAAGAAGTTCTCTCGTTCTTTCAAGAATGCTGTGGATGTCTTGCGGCTTTGCTCCCGGGCCAATGAACCCCAAACCACCAGAAGAAGACACTGCAAGGGCAAGCTCAGGTCCTGCCATGATGCGCATTGGTGCACTGACAATTAGAGGCCATGTAGTCCATGGATATGTCTTCAGAAGAGTTCTCGCAGCCATAGTTGAACAAATTGCACAGGTTTATAAGCAAACTGTTTGGAATAGATGGAAGCACCGAAAGGGAAGTATAAGACAAAAGGGAGGCGAACAAAAAGTGCAGACCCCGTATATAGTCTTAAGGAAACAAAGACCCGCAAGCCCCGCAAGACCCGCAATTTCCGTTGCTTCCGCAGTACCCGTGAGATCGCCACGCTAGTTAGATCCGCGATGCCCGCAACATCCGCAGTGACCGCGATCATATAATAAGTGTGAAGCTAGGCGCGAGGAATTGGACGCCGCTTGTCCTCCTAGATTACTGCTACCTATAGAGGTATATATGCTGCTATCTAAAAGAACACGTTTCT